TATGTTTTTGCAGACTTGGRTGAGCGCTATCACTCGGTTCATAGAGTTTTGAATAGTTTAGGCTGGAAGACATTTCTGGGATAATCAACAATCTTTRATGCCYAGCTCAGAGKAGGGATCAGCTCTSAATTCAGACTTTTGTACTCAGAAAYGCATAGAAGTCTTGGATTTTGAAAGATCAGCATTTTTAATTTAGAATTACTTATTACTATTGTACTATTGACCAGAAGGGTARATGGAAGACAAGCCTTTTACTAATTTAACTTGTTACTGGCAGCTTAACTTCCAGTGAACTTGTCACTGGAGTGAAATAGTAGACTATTCTGAGGAAAGGACAAATAATGCACAATCAAAYGTGTCCTCCAAATTCTAGTTCTGATTGCCAGCTAGCTACTTCAATAACTTGTATGATTTATGTCATGAAAATATAGATGTCATTCAGTCAGTTACAAGTTAGTTACCTTATTTATCTACGGTTTAAGGGCCTTATGCCTCCTGAAGAGGTCTTTGGAAATAATTTTTCTTTTCTAAAAGGAACTTAATGACATAAACCACACTAGAAGGGAATAATGAATTCTACTAAGAGGTACAAAAAGGTCAGGGCTGTTTTGACAAATATAAAATCTGCTGGAGAATAAAATTCAGTTTTCATTTTGATGAAAAAGAGTGAGAATCAACAGCACTGTTAATTACGTTTTGYGCTATACACACAACCTAGATAAAGTGCTAATTAAACTATTAATTTTAATGTTCAAGTTTACAGTGCAAGTGTTCTTTTCTTGCTAAGGCAGTTTTTGGATGCATGTCTTARTGTTATTGTGCTTACTGTTCCTTARCTGAAAGGTGAGTAAATAGTTGCCTGTTAATTGGAAAGTGCATCTTCTGGCCAYAAACCCTTGGATACTCTATGGTCTGTCATCTTAACATTTCTGTTGATGTCTTGCTTTTTTGCTGTTCTAAAATTTTCCATGCCTTATTTAGTTCATACCGTAATTTTTTGATAGCTTTGTTATCATGAATATTGCATCACTGGGAGACAAGATTAATATTCTCTGGGCTACTGCAACTGCAAAGCCTGTTTTTTAAGGAAAAAAGTAGCACTGGTTTRTCAGTTAAAAAAATTAGATTTATGACTGTATTTTTACTTGCAGTGGGAGAAGGAATTTGCATCTGATACATTGTCCTGTACCAATTCTTCAGTGTTATTCAAAACATTTCATTTAATGGTTTTCTAGAACAAATTTAAAAATAGTGCAATATATTTAAAAAACTCAGAAGAATCATCTTGGCTGTCCTCTGTGTCTTTAGACTGCTCTATCAGTAGTGATTGARGTTTAAGAACACTGTACATGATGCACCTCAAATACTTTGGAAATCTGGTTTCAAGTACTTGATAATAAGGGGAGAACACATACTATATTAAATGTACAATATATATTTTGAAAACTGAGTGTATTCAATATTTTGGTGTAGATATACTTTTCTCACAGTTCCAACTAATTTTAACGTCAAAAGTAAAATGTAGTTTTTAATGCTTCTCCCTAAAGCAATTAGCAAGTATAATCCTATATTTGCCATCATAAGAGTTCTTCTAGGAGATTACTCAAATTAATTGGACCTTTTTGAAGGTTGTCTGCATTARTGAGTTCTGAAGTATTTTACAAGAATCCTGGCAACAAATAATTGGAAAAGGTTTGAGTTGTGTAAACAGTGCTTTTACAATAGGACATTTTTTGTTTGCTTGATTTGTTTTTTTATGKTTTTTTCTGATTTTCACAGAAAATTACACTTTCCCACATATTCTTTGTCTTACAGCTTTCTTTTCCCCCTATAATAGCATATCATCCATTTTTCTTGTTCTCTTCCAGTTTAATTTGTTTTCCCAGGTACAGGTGACTTCAGAGATTCTTAATCACCCCACATATTTCTCTGTTAATTGCTTAGCCTGTTTTCCTGCTGCTCAGTTTTAACTCCCTGTTACGAGTAGTTACGGTTGGCTTTGAGCAAGGGGCTGAAGCAGGCTGCTGCTTGACAGAAGCATGGGCAGTCATAGTGAGGAAAAGAAGATCTGAGAAGGTAACACTATCATTATTAAGTTCTGGAAAAGGCTTGAGTATCTGAAAATGAACCCACCAGCACTGGTTCAGCTATTGTCAAACCTACTTGTTGGTATTCCTTTCTGTTGTATTTTGGGCAAAATGCATGGACTAGTTGACCTAACTTATCTGTACTATGTGTTTATATTCACATAGTAAAGAACTGTCTAGGACATGATTTGTGTGTGATGGAACTGATTTTTTGTTACCACCCGGACTCCTTCAGATAGAAGTTTTAAATGTATCAAACATCTAATGAGATTAATGCTATGTACTGCTGTTTAACATTTGAAATTGAGTGTTTTCTCTGACAGRAAGTGTAAATTTCCTAATTCTGTGTTAAGAGTACAGAAGAATTTTCCTGTGCTGAAAAGTCAGGGGAACATTAGTTTTGAATGTGCAGCCATAGGAAAAATTGTAAGCAGTAGCAGCATCTTAATCTTTTAGGCATGTTGATAAAATAGTAGACAGCAGTGACCTGAAGGCACATTTATGGATCTTGATTCTATAGCTGAATTGTTTTTTTACTGTAATAATTCAACACTGAAGTTAAAGCTAAAAAAGCTAAAAAAAAAAAAAATAATTTAAAAAAAGGCAAATAGTTACTTCATGTTTTTTTTTTTCTTCTGAGTGTTAAACTAGACTAAAAAAAAAGTAGGTTCTGCCTGTCTTTTGCTGTACTTCAGTTMACTGAAGACTGGAAGCATTTCAAGACAGGGAAGAACTGGTTGATTGCTAGGAGGAAGACCAGTGTTTTTTTTAAAGGAAGTGTACATCATAGCTTCTATCCTTTACAAGGAAAACAAATTAAGTTCTAGTAACTAGTGCAGCTTTACAGCTTTGTACTTAACATCCTTTTCTAGCCATCCTTTTTTGTATTTGGCCCTGCCTTATGGCAGTTATCACATTAAAAAATAAAATCAACCAACTTGCAGTTGAACATGAGATGAATCAAGTAAGTTACGTGCCTAATATAAAGTCTGGTACTTTTCTTTGTAGCTAAAAAGTTTCTTACAACTGTTCACCGTGTGTCTGGTTTTCACACAAGCATGTAGGCATGCCTGTGGGCACACACAATCTTAATAGTGTAAACTGATAGCCACAGTATTTCTCTATCCTTGTGGGCTAGGGATTGTCATTAGGGATCATACACCACTTTCCCTTCTGCTTCCTTATGTCAAGAATGAGGTGTACAAGCAGACTAATATAAACAAGGTTGTGTGCTGATTTTGTGACTAACCCATGTTGGTTTATAGGTATGATCGATTCCAGTGGGGCTGCTGATTTTACTTAAAATGCCAGTTGATGTTACTGTGAAAGGTCTGTCAAAATGGTTGCATGTTCTCTAWTAAATTTTTAGTGTTGATTATAGGGTAAGAAGAGGTCCTCCTCAGTGTTCCATCAATGGCCTTTTTAGCTGGACCTTAATACCTGCCTGTGTCTTTCAGTTGCCAGGCCTTATTTTTCCTCTCCACATKAAACCATCTTCTTCTGAAAATAGAGTGTACTCTTTTTATGTTAAATACTTTTTGGAGGTTAATATTAGTTACTACAAACTTGTTGGTCTGAGAGCCCTTTATCATATATCTTGTGGCAGTTTCCTATAGCGGGATATTTTTACAAGACTGTTGGTTCTGTTCTGTAAAATAGYGGTGTCTGCTGCTTCAGGTAGCTGAAGATAGATGACTTATATTTGGCATCCCAAATGTGATTGAGCAAAACAGACTTTTGTGAACCTGTGAAAATACTGTGAATGTATTTTGGTTTGATTAATATTTCCATGTAAAAGTTGCTTATAGACTGATTTATTTGCCGAGTATGTAGATTTGTTTTCAAAGTGCATCTGAACTTAGGCTCTTAAATCATGAGTGGAATGGTTTTTCAGAAGGAAGTACATTTTTTGCATTTTCTTATTCTCAGCACATGTGTGTTTACCCAGGAGCAGAAGACTTCTTAACATTCTTGTAGAAAATTAGGGAGAGTTTTCTTTTTAAGAAATATCATTAGTTTTTGTTTCCAACTGTGAATTTGKTTCTATTTAATCTTTTTGATGTAAACAGTAATCCTAAAATCCCTTGGAATTGTCTCTGATAGAGTACTTCGTTTTCTCCTAAGTGATGATTTTTTTGCCACTTTGGGTACTATCTTTTGAGTATTGTTTCATAGCAGGCCGTGGTTCATGTTTAGTAATGTCAGAACTCTTTTGCTGTTGGGTGACTGAGCATCCATTGTATCTGAATCAATTTGATATCTTTCTTGTCTGTTCAGTGTAAAAGCATGTTACAGTTTCTGGTGTTACTACAGTTTTATGCTGGTTTTAAAAGATGGGTGGGTGTCTGCACTAACATCAATAGCAAGGTATTATTGATTTAAAAAAATATACCACTACCAAGTTAAGTCAAAACTATTTGAACAAAGATGAATTGGCCAGTAGAGTTTATATACCATAATGTAATACATCAGACCTTGATTTTCAATTAGCACAAGTATTTTTGAGTTGTGGAACTAGACTGAGTATTACTGAACCACGGCCTTTAGGCAAGTACTGTAATGAGACCTGTTTGTTTACAGGTAAAATAGAAACATACTTACTAATTAAAAACACTTTRTGAAGGGTGATTAATTCACAGTTGTTCACATAACTGTTTGGAAGCTTTAGACCGCTGCATCTGATAAATGGAACTTGGGATATTTAATATGCAAAAATGTACATCATTGTTATATTGAACTTATTAATCCATTTGATGTTATAAAAAGCAAGAGTATGGTTAACTTCATTTCTTGTAATATTTTTAATCAATGGGAGCTTTTGAAACTTTAACATTTTTATTTTCATGGAGTAAATGGGAATGTTTTAAGTTCTAAGAATGATAGGTTGACCATGAAAACTATGTTTACTTTCAGAGAGAACAGGAAATGAGAATGGGTGATATGGGTCCTCGTGGAGCAATAAACATGGGAGGTAGGGATCTGAAGGAAAAAGGCTTCTGTAATGTAAAATTTTTTTTTTTCTTTGGGACTGTACATGTAACTCAAGCRCTATTAATTAGTAACAACTTCTGATAAAAAAGGAGTAAGCATGTAGGAAATAAAAAGCCCCCAGCATGTATCTTGCTTTCAAACAGCTTTGCCCTCCTACCCCTGATGTATCTTCATTGCTTTGACTATACATGGCAAAAAATTATGTGCAAGTTAAGAGAAACAAAAGTCAGAGAAAGGTGATGCTCTGGGAGCTATCTGATACAAAAGAGGAATTTTATGTTGAAAAGATACTATTTTGGMGGGACTACCTATTCAGAGAAATTGCGACTAATTGCATGCAGTGAAACGATGTAGAGGTTAAAATTGGCAAGTTATTCTTGACATACCTGATGAGGTAAATGAATAATGTTCTTGATGTTCTACCAGTTTGCTCCCAGTCTGTATTTGCAAATATTCTCAGCTCTTGCAATTTAAAATGCTGTCAATGCTAAAAACTATTACTGTGTAATCTAGAAAAGTATAATAATTAGTGCTTGCTCCATATGTGTTGACTGAAACAGTTAAGAATCTTACTTACAGAATATCTGCTTTTAAACAAGACTGAAACTTAAAATATTCCTTCAAAATTACCACGTCTAACTAAACTATGTGAACTGTTAAACTATGGGAAGCTTCCTAATGGTAATTTAAAATAAATTAGGATGATAATTAAAAGTAATAGAACTATTTTCTRTATGTTTTAAACTTGAAAGTGCATACAAAACTAAGTAAACATTTGTCTTGAACTTTTGAGTAATAGGAATTTGTAGAGTAATGAATCTGCTTGGTTCAAATTTTAAAATACATTGTTCACCATTTCCTTGTATTTATTGAGACACGTTTATAGCTGAAACATAGAAATAGGCATGTGTTTCCAGGGATGATGAAAATKATTTAAAAATAATTCTGAAGAAAGTTTGTGAAGCTATCTACAAATATTAAACTGAATCATAAATTGAGGCTTATTTTTTTTATTTTATAGTTGGACYTTTGCATATTGCAGCATGCTTAAAATTTCATTTAATTAGAAGACTTYGTAAATATTGATACTGTGCCTGTTGTCCAGATCCGCAAGATACACCTTTTACACRCAGATTTTAAATGTGTGTTTACTGCAATTYGTAATKGTGATATTCATGGTCTTAGATTCTAAGCTTTGTGTTATAACTTGATTTTAAACTTCATACTTTTAGAAAGAAATTATATCATTCCAAAAGAAGTTATAGTAACACTGAACTGCTATTTTAAAACTATCCATAGCAAATAGGTAAGTGTAGCATTTATTTTTGCAGAGGCTGGATTTTAAGTTTGGTCACTATAGAGATTTTTTTTTTTCCTCCAGCATATTAACTCCATCAGTACAACCAGAATAATTGACTCTGAAACCTTACAATAGATCTATAAATAATAGATCTTTAGCTGTTGACAGTAGCATCCTTTCTCCACATTTCTATTAGAACTGTAACTTTATTTTTAACTGACCTTTASTGTTTGTGACTTTTCATAATGCAGGACAGTAGGGAGCTGGAGTATCTTCAGTMACAGAAATACTTGCATGATAATTTTATTAGAAAGCAGAGTACCTCTGTGACAGATTTAACAAGCATTGGGCTGACTTGTGCAGAACTGCTCATTTTTACAGCTTTTTGTGACAAGTTCTWCGAGAATATGTATGCCTCATTAGAGCACTTAACTGGCTTGGTAGTGCTAAGTGCAGATTATAAATTCAAATATGGAAAAAAAGGGCTTTTGTTTGGAACTGTCTCTGATGAAGATTATTGACTGGCTTGTTGGTGCATTTCAGTCCATTTAGAGTGTCTTTTTCAGTCCTTCAGTTTGCAAAAGAAGGCTTTTTTATTTTAGGCTGTGCATTGTGGCATGAACACAATTTACAGATGGAGAGTAGTCATTAAACTCCTAACATCAGTGTCCCACCAAAAAGAAGGGACCATCAAGTGGCCAGCTCTTAGGGTCTGCTTTGGGGATCGGATTTTGGAGGACCCCCTGAGTTATAGCTATACATTGTAGTGGTGTCTTGCTGAAAGTATGCAGGGCTCCACTCTCTTCTTGCATTATACTCTGTAGTGTTCCTGCTTTCAGATCTGACTCTGCCTGAAACAGGATCAGTATTCTAGAGGTTTGATAGTATAGATTGCTAYATGCCACCGTGGATGCATTTGTCTGATATAGAGCATGAGAACTTTGAGACAGTTGACAGATAAATGACAGTACCTGCTGATGCCAGCGGGCTCAGTTTAATTAGTCTGATAAGTAAGCAAATAGCAAATAATTTAACATTTAGTTATGTCCTGCACTAAGTGCTACTGCCATCTTGATAGTCCTGCAAAGTCCCTCTAGCCTCTGAAAATAAAGGTTTCCCCTTATATTGGCAGTTTCTTTCCCTTCGATACTAACTGAATGGGTGATCGTAAAAAAMCATTTTAGAGCATGTGCTACTGTAGTTTTTTTGAATTGTAGAACAATCTTCTACCTTCTACATGAACTGATCATGTGTATRGGTAGGTAAGAAGTATCCAACCTGAGTGTGCCTTTGCTTTGACTTGGTGTTGCARGGAGAGGCTTGGAATTTTTAAATAYTAAGCTCAAAGACTTCTGCTTTTCAGAATTACAGAAACTAGTAAACTAGTAAACTTGTTTAGCACTTCTAATGTGCTGCTGTGTAGCATGGATTGTTTTTGGTAAGGAGTTTGTGGTTGGCATAATGTGTGTAATCAAACCCAGGTCTTCAATTTTAGCAGCAATATTTTGAATGCCATGRTTTTACTGGCTGCTGTGACATGGTATACTCAAGGCAAGTAATACAGATGTAATTTTGCATACCTGCAGATAGACACAGTATTGTATCTCTGAAATGGCTTTCTTTCAATGATGTATATGTATAAATTTGTTACTAAAAAGTGCAGTTGTGATGAGAAGTGAGAGTTTATTTTGAAATAAGAATTACAACCCTATTAGTCTAGCAGCATGTCAGATTTCTTTATATTATAAAAGTGTGTACTTAAAGTGWACACTAAACTCCAAAGGTATGCTTTCTTCCATTATTAAATTTTGGATGCATACTTGGGGCTGAAAAGGATGGATTATTGTGGGRCTTGGTGGAATGCATGATCACCAGTCTTGAAGTCGATGATATTTCATAATAGCAAGATGTGGGATAGATAGTAAGACTTTTTTCTTTCTGATACTATGAAGACATTTTTACTTATGTGTTCAGTATGTTAGTGAGTACTGGCAGAGTGATGTTTTTMAGTGTAATACTACAGCTAAATGATCTCCTCAGAATGTTTTCAAGATTTTCTTGTTCTGCCTGTTTGATTTAGAATTTTGGAGGAGATTGTTCTGTCGTTTCAAGTTGTAACGAAACTACTTAGTTCTCTGGTACTTATAACAAATCACAGCTAGATGCAATATTTTATTTATGCTAGATTACAAGTGATTTATTGTGAAGTTGAGTACCATGTCTGGTGGTGTTTTTAGACCTTAGATTAATCTACTGTACACTATATACAGTTAACATACTGCTGGTAAAAGAGTTCTTGCAAATGTACATTTAATCTATTAAGATCCCTAAAGAGCCATGTTGCCTTAKAGTTGCCAATGTCTTTAAAATCACTTGAGATTTTTGCTCATCTGTGGTGTGTGTACTGCATATAGATGCAATATGAAAACTTCGGTTCCTGCACAGAAACTGTATAACTATATTTAACTGAAAAGGTTGGGATTTTCAAATACATGAGGCAAATTATGTAATGCAGAATAATAGAGATTATTGAAAACCTGTTTAAAAGCAGATGATTGAGATAAATGTACAGTCTCAAAGAATATATGTTTTTCTCAAGTATTTGAAGTCTTGTACATTTGGCTTTTTAAATATCGTGAATTGTTTGTTTGTTCTTGTAAAATTAAGATAGGACAGCTCTAAGTATAGATTGTTTTGCGTAGATGCGTTTAGCCCAGCACCTGCTGGTAACCAAGGCCCTCCTCCAATGATGGGTATGAATATGAACAACAGAGGAACTTTACCTGGCCCTGCAATGGGTCCTGGTCCTTCCATGGGACCAGAAGGAGCTGCAAATATGGGAACACCAATGATGCCAGATAATGGAACAGTGGTAATGTATCACAAATTTAATTACTTTGAATAGCTGTTATGTCTCATGGCCCATTTTTGTTACCAAAGGTATTTTCACACTGAATAAGAATGAGTTACATGCTTTGGATCTGTTAAAAGTACTTGATAAAACCTATTCATGCAAATAATTTACAGCTGGACAGGGAGATGTTTTTTTAATATTACTGTGAAAATCTCTTAGGAACCATAATTTCTAAATTTAGACTTCTGTTGTTCTTTTCTTTAGTAAAACTAAATTGTGTGAATTAGCTTGTTGGGGTTTTTGATGAACAGTGAAATGTTGGAAGGTACAAAGTGTGAAGATACCTTTGTGTAAACTATTTATTTTTTTAAAGCAACTCTAGTGTTTTTTGTATTTCTTTTCTAACACTGTTAAACGCATGAGATTGACAGTAATTATGCCACTTAGAAAATCAGTAGCCAACAGCTATTGACAACTGCCATATAAATACAGAAAAAATAATGCCCAGTTGTCACGGTAATAGGGAATGTCTTGTAAATGTCTGAAATTTGTAATCAAGAGCAGACAGGCCAATGGGATGAGGTTAAAGCACTAGCTGTTCTTCCTTTGTTCTCATAGTCACTTTTCCTAGCTGTAATGTCTTAYGTAGAGAAACAACTCTAAGTCAGACTTTGACATATTTTTTCGGTACTGTTCTGTTACTAGATATTTGGATTGGTGGTGGTGTGATATAAAGGAATACACAGTATTAACAGTTATTCTGTTACAATTTTATTGGAACATTGAAGCATTTTGTAGCTGTGTTTTTATGTCTGTACGTTCTCAACAGCATCTGTCTGGGATTGAGAAACCTGTATAATGAAGTTAGAACAAAACTCTTTGTTCCACAGAGGAAAACAAGATTTTGATTTTTGCACAGAAAATACATTGTGTGTCTGGTCTTTACCAGATAAAAAGGAGAAGTTCTTACTTCACATCTTAAGAGCCAGCTCATTTTATCAGTTGTATCATTTCTTACTAACTGGGTAGGATGCTATTCACAAAATACTGGATTTGGAAATGGCTTTGGCTGGAGACCACTGTGTTACTGGTCACCATGAGACCATTCTCTTCTGTTTATGTAGACCCTTAAAAAGAGGTGAATGGAAAACAACATGGTGTCATAAATTACAGTATCTAACTTTAACTGTTGTTTTTCTACAAAAAGTCATTCCAGGTATGGAAATGTAGGAAATATACTGACACTTCAAAATGCATGTTKAAAAAAAATTATTTTTCCTTACATTTTCTTATGCATGCTTCTGAAGGACGAATTAGATTTTTGTTTTTTCTTCATTTTGGACTTTAAAAGTTTTTAACTTGGGGGTCAGGCCCCTAGAGAAAGGCATAGCCTTATTATATGATTGCTGTTAGAAAGACACTTTAAACATCCTTTGAGRGCTATCTACTAAAACAGTGTAACAGTTATTTTCCACTGAGGGAAATGAAAAATATGCTTTATAGACCAGAAATAAAAATTTAATGTTTTAAATTGGATGTTTCTCTGAAGACTTGAAGGGAAAGTTGTAGCAACCTTCCTTTTGTTTCACTGCAGTCTTCTGAAACATGGATTGTCTTTTAGTATAACACTTTAAAAGTAGCTTCCCCCACTTACATTAATGTGGGTAGTTAATTACAGCAGCTTTCTTGTTAGCTGGAGAGAGGAGTCGTTATTGGAAAGAGGACTTGACTTGTCCAAAAGTCAAATGGTAAAAGGGATCAGGAGTATGTGATAAGTTACTTGCTGAAATTCATATCCATTGCTAACAAGCTAGCATGCGTTAAGATAATTTTTAAACAGTTTTTACCCAGTGCAACATATTTAAAGGTGCTTTGGTTCAGTAGTAGATCTTTATGCAGCTCTTAAAGTAACCTTGGTCGTATACAGTATTGAACTTCAAACAATGCAGATATGTGCAACCATTATCTAGGTTGCATGTATTTTTATCTATATAGATAAAACACTGGGKTTTTTTATATATATATACATATATATGAGAATTAGCAGATTGCAGAACTGCTGACCTCTACTRCTRTTACTGGAGTTACGCTTTCAGAAGAATTTTTTTCTTATTCAGGCATATAAATAAAGTGCTGGTCTTGAATGTCCTTGTTGAACTCTGAATACCTGGGGAGTTAATGTAGTTCTCTGTGCAGAAGGAATTTCTTCTGAAAGCATAACTCCTTAACWGGTGAATGATGAGTTATTTCCACATCTGATTGTACCATGTATTTATGCTTTTGATGGTTTATGGTGAGTTTAAATTTCACCATGTGGGATTCTCTTTTTAAACATTCGCATAAATACTGAACTGTAAGTGCTCAGATGCATGTTTTCTGTGTTAGGTCTTAATTACTAAGCAAATAAGTCTGTAAGGATATGTGCCTTCATTGATATTAGCCATRCAGCTAAGAAAAGTAAATATGGAATATTAACTGGATTTTTCTCTCACATTGATATTTCAGAATAAGCCTTAGATATGTATGGAGTTTTTAATAAACTAGGAATAGTCAAGATRTGCATTTTGTCACTAATGTAGTTTTGTTTTGGAAAGAATTTTAAAAGCCTTTACTACAGATTTCAAAAGTGCCATACAAAAGGCTAACTCCAGGTAGCATGGACTTGAAATATCCAATGATATGTGGGTATAGAAATCTTCAGGGTATTAAAAGAATAAATATGCAGTGTCCAAAAATGCAAAAGCTGATTTCTTCCTCCTGTAGTTTGACAATATTTCTGTGTCTAATTTATTTAAGGGAGAAGCTTTATAGTTGGTATGCAAGGCACAGTAGGGGCTCAGATACAAAAGATTTGTCTCCTCTGTTACATACAGAATATGTGTTGCATCAGATGTGCTTGTAAGGATGAAGTTACATTCAGCACCAGAATCGGTCTTCAGTATTGTTTTTAATTTTTAATTTACTTTACAAAGTTGGAGCATAACATTAGCACTCTTTGATTTCCAGCTCTTTTTCCATAATAACTAATTGAATTGCTCCTTTCTTCCTTCTATGTGTGATCCTGATTCTGCTGGACTATCTGCTGAACTCCATGACAACATCACTTGTGGTTTTTGTTGTAACTCACATTTGGCATGTTCCAAATGGACTTGTGTTAGCATAATGAGAGATTCCCTCAAGGAGGTCCATCCCAGATGGGTTCACCTCTGGTTAGTAGAACGGGCTCTGAAACTCCTCAGCCGCCAATGAGTGGTGTAGGTGCCGTGAGTGGTGGACCTGGTGGCTTTGGTAGAGGAAACCCAGGGGGCAACTTTGAAGGACCTAACAAGCGTCGCAGATACTAAATCTTAACTCATTCCTTACTGTTTTAGAAATTCCAGTAAAATTATATGGTGATATGCCTTTATAATTTTAGCTGTTATCCTGAAACGGTTCTATTGTTATTGTAGTCTTTAAAACAGTTTCTTTTGTAAAACTTTTTTTGTATTCAGTCATAGGCTTTGTAGCATAGAGCAGAAATGATGCGGATCATTATGTAAGGCAATGTGTTTGTGACTGGCAAAATACAATGTGTGACTATGCTGTAAAACGTGCAGTTATCTGATTACAATAAAACAAAAATCACTGGAAAGGATTTTGGGAATGTTATTACTGATACCGAGTAAGAATAATTTTATGCTTAATTATAAGTGGCATCATTTTAATTTTTACGTAGTGTGTACTATGTGTCGGGAAAGTTCCTTTCTTAATAGTGAATGTTTTGCTAAACTGCATGGTGCAGTACATACTATGAAAAGCTTAAACACAAMTGCTTTTGTTCTGACTTTGGAAGAGCATAAAATTTTATACAAACTATTCTCAAAGATACTGTGTCCTTGCATCTCAATCCACCATTGCAAACTTAGTCGCAGTAGGCTTATCAACAGAGTTTATCTGTTAGACAAATTGTTAGAAAATTTAACTTGGGGAGGGAAAAAAAAACTACTTTGGAAAAGAATCTCTATGTATGCTGTATTCATAACAGTATGAGTGAATTTACATAAACTGTATTTATAGAGGAGAAAATTTGTTGTGACATCTGTGTGTTCTGCTGATGGTTAAAGTGTCTTGCCATTGCTAGGATGGAGACATTTCTGCACGGTGGTTGAGAGCCTTCCACTGTGTTTGCACATCACCATTAATAAGTATACATTTTCCCCAGTGGCTGGTTTGAATAAAAACATGTCTGTTATCAATAGGGAACTGTTTAATTAGGAAGCAAATCCATGCTTTCCAGTGAAAATAGGTGTTTGCTTATAGTTGAGTAATATACATTTAGAAGGATTGCACATGAGTATTCTTCAGAAAGGTTTTACAGAATGATGAATTTGGAAAATGCCTATTTGCCACACAGCTCAGGGTAGATTTGTTTTTAGATAAAACTGGTAGTAAAGCTGTTAGGAAGCTTATTGTGATTCTGCTTTTGTCAGTCCTGGAAGATGATGGAAAAGACCTATTGGTTCTATTCCTGTAATGGCAAATAAGTGGGATATTGGTTGGTTACTATTATCTTTTTCCTGCAGAATAGTTGTAAAATACTGGGTTTTTTTAAAATCTGTTCACTCATTTTCAGAGGTAGAAATTAGTAAATTTTATCTTAATTAATAGTGATACTAAATTGGTTAAAAACTGATTAGAGATAACCTGGTGCCCTAATAACCTTAAAWTGGTATACATAGCTCAGCATGAGATGCAAGCAGCAGAGGGCATGTGTGTGTTACTTGTTAATTTAGCAGTGATAGTCTTGGTGGCTTGAATTTTGAGCAAATGAGTAACAAGCAAATTGTGGCATGGTTGGCATTTTTGAAATACACTGTTATTTAAATTGCCAGTATTATATGGCTTAAGATCCTCTTTCTATACAATTCAGGAGTTATCTTWTGTATAGGTCCTCTCTTGTGATATCTGTAGCTACTAAGCATTTTCCTTTAGATTGTCTTTAATGTTGCCATTTTTTGCTTGACTTGATACATGCCACGCTTTATAGTTTCTAATACAACACTGACTAACGTTTAGAGTCTGAAATACTCTTTCCCCTTGGTGTATGTATCACATTATAGTGCTTATTCTTAAAATTAACCTCAATCAAACTACAAATGGTTTTACTTGACACACTGGTCCTAAACCTCAAGATTTCAGAAAATTGCTGKTTTTTTCACTGCTATAAACTACTGTTTATAGGAATTACCTAAGGTCTCTGCTCTAGTGTCCTCCATTCAGTTGAAAATGCAGTTTACATTGATGTTTTTAGTAAGGTGTTTAAATATGAGATTAGTTTTTTTTCATTTCTTCTGTCCTTGTATATGACTTTTTAGGGGATTGAGAAAGTATTGATGTGAATTGGTAATTCTAAACTGTAAAGATGCACAAAGCTGTACTGTACAGGTTATAAATACAAATTAAACTAGATTCAATAGGTTGCTTCATTTTCTTCAAAGAAAAAGGTTGTGTCATTCAGACCTTTTAGCTAGCTCCTGTATATTTGTTTAGCTATATACACTATCTTCCTTGTAGTATCTATATTTCAGAAGTACATTAAATGTACTTAATCTGCAAAAGTGGTTTATTCTTTCTATGCCCACTTCATGCTRCTTTAAGCACGTGTTTGTTGCACTGTGGTTTTAGTAGCAAGTGGAGGGTATGCATGTTTTCGAAAGTTATTGTAGAATTTATTTAACATTAGTGATTGTCATTCCACAGTTGTGACCTGCCATTCCTGTAAACCTGACTTGGATAGCTCTGCTCCATGGTGGCAGTGGATTGTCAGCTGTCCTTACTGCAGTAAATAATTTAATCTGTTTTCAAATGTCCATGAACCAAGTCCTAACAAATAAATACTGAAATGTGTACTTTGGGCACATTCTAAAGATTTAATGAAGAATGCCTTTTGTATCTGATGACATACTGCTAAATTCAGCTTTCATTAAAAGCTTTCTTCAGCCTGCCTGGCTGAACTCTAAAGGCAGCGCTTACTGTTTTGTCAGATGTGGTAGTAACTGATCCTAGCTGTGCAATAAACACCTAATTTTATTAAGAAAGGAATGGCCCTCAATTGTTTCCTAAAAGTGTGTAGTTGTGGCCAACCCGTGTTTTTGCTTTAAGGTTCTGACCTTCAGCTAAAGTGATTAATTTTTCTTGTGCCTCATCTAGATGATCTGTTAATCATTTTTGTGTGTACACGTGTACTCAAGTTTTGAACTACATTTGCACTGTTTGACTGGAAAGCACAGTGCAGTCCTGACTCTGCTATATGCACTGCTTAAACAAATAGGCTTGGAATATAGATGAAACTGCCAACTACAGTGCACTTACTTGCGTAATGTACTTACTGGGCTTTTACATCATTCCTGAAATGTCATATTCTTAACTGCCTAACTTTCCCATGAGATACAATTTTATCACTTAAAGATAACAAAGCTTTGCTGTTCCATTTAAGTTAAACACACCAGTACCAGCTTGTCTAATTATATTTGCATTTGTCAACTCAGTCATTTGAAGGGGAGCTATTGGGCACTTGAGAAATAAAAAATTCATTTAGGTTGTTCTGACCRGTGTGTTCATTAGATAAAGCTTACTGATATCTTGGGAAACTCGGTGGCAATTCAAATATACTTTACTGTATTTATTTCCCAAGAAAAGAATAAATTACTATGGGTTACCTAGAAAGAAAATTCCTGACCTGCAGTTGTTTTATTTAGTCCACATATTTTTATCCTGTGGAAAATAAAGATGTAAGCTGAAGATTCTTACTAGAACAAAAGGTTAAAATAGATGTCAAGAAGACAGTATGAACTAAGTACTRCATTAATTTTGTTTTAACCACAATCCAGTACAGCTTTATAGTATTCTTAGAGGAGCATTTGGATCTAAAGTATGCTGCCACATKTTAAAATGCTATAGTTTTAAATATTAAAGTAATTTCCCTCTTTTCTACTCTTGATTTCAGATATAGAACAATCTGTAATTACAAATTTTTTGAAAGGTACTAAACACAAAGACAGTGACATTTATGAACTACACGTTGCTAAACAATTGCAATCTACCTTGAGATAATTTGGCTCAATATGCTGAAATAACCCATCTAAAGGTAGATTCTCAAGTGAGAACCAAAACCACTTAGGCCTTTTGAAGGGAGAAAATCTGCTTGGAGGTGAGATGTTCAGGAATWGAGTGGTGTGCTCTGAGGGCATGAAGTTCGTTTTACTTAAGCATGTTGCAGAAAGAAGCTTTTCACATACTTCTTAWTTTATATATTTTTAACAAGTTGGATTATGATTTTTCCCCTTCACAAGTCAAACTAAACTGTAATCAATCTACTAAAATAGCACGGAGGGCAGGGTGGCAGCTAGAGTCAATTTATGTCGAGCTACAGATGCGAAGGGATTGTAATTCCCCAGTCCCGAGAGCTGAAGTATTSCATATCCACAGGTAGTTTTAGAGTCTGCATCCAGCATCTTTATTAGCTTGTGCCTCTGATGCCTAAGGCACCACTTGCGGCCAAAACTGGGGGACTTCAGAGAGGGCATACTTTCAATGCAATTCAGTTACTGCCAATGTAGATTGATAGTCTTCCCAGGACCCCTGAAATTATTAATATGGACATYGTGCTGTCATTAAGATGCAGAATCACCGTGGTTTTTGGTGCATTCCTTGGACCGTTAGCTCACTCCTAGCATGAGGGAATACCAGTCCAAACTTTCCTGATTCATGATCAATAAAGAGAGAGTCAGTGTGGCCTATGGGAAATGCAGACATTGAACATTGCTACTTTTGATTATTGGCTATTTGGTGCTAGGTTGGTGGCAAATGTTGAGCTGTAGTAACCCGAAACAATTTTCTTTCTTAAAAAATCACTTATTGAAATGTAAGAATTTGGTGACAATAAGAGGATTCACGAAAAGCTTTGAATACATAATGTCAGGTGTACTTCTTCCCATTGGATTGTTTTTATGTTACCTTTTGTTACCTTTTCAGTTATACTGTAAAGTAGTCTTTGCAATCTCACCAGTTTAGTGTGTTTTATTAATACTTTTGGGTATTTTGCAATAAATTATTTTAAAAATCATAGCTGTAGGCCTTTCAGGTGTGTTTTCACAATAATGCGTAAAATACCAAAGTTAGTTATAAAATTGTCTGAAAGGTTACTTGTAGAATAAATAAACTGAACATTAAATTTTCATGAAAACTGTACTTTAAATGTTTCTAAATGCATGGGAAAAAAACCCCAATATGCTCATTTTCAGTGGGGTAGATTTAATAGGTCTTTTCCATCTTAAACTTCCTTAAGATATTATGAAAATTAATGAAATTGAAATTTGGAGGCATTCTTATTAATTGCCTCAGCCTGACTTTTAAAAGCGTACAAGTTTCTTCAGAAAAGAGTTTGAAACAGCAGCCTTTTTTTCCCTAATTGAAGGAGCTATTCAGAAAAGCATTCAGAAATAAGCATAGCATACTTACAGATAAAACCATTTAAAAAAACCCCTCTGCTCTAATGTGATGATTATTATGCACGCAAATCACATTAAAAAAAAAAAAGAAACTTGTAAATGTGGGTGAAAAGTTAAATGATTTGTATGTGGTCCCTTGAGTGGAGAAGAAACTGCTCATAATAAGAGGTATGAGATTCAAAAGGAACTGGACTGTGTTACTACATACATGTGTGGATAAGGTTTTTCCATTTGTTTTGGTAAATGGTTTGTCTAGAGCTCCCATTGTTCCTAGATTTACTAGTGTGCTTTTATATATCAATTTCTGTAGAGTAAAGCATAGCTGTATAATTTAATTGAATTTACATACTAACTGTATGCGAGACGTTAAGTGCTTGACTTGAAAGAACTGCAGAGAGAATAAAGATACTGTTCTTGACTTTAAAAACTGCGCAGATCCTTCAGCAGGAATAAGTGTGGAGGGTCCTGTATGTAAATTGAACAAAAAAAAATGGGAGAGAGGGAATAAAGTAACATAATAAAAGTGAGAGAAGTGTGGTTTAATTTTATATCTACAGCAGACTCACATAAGACTTGTTTTACATGAAAACCACAAAACAACTAATTTTTAATAGAAAAGGTGGAAATACCGGTTACRTTCATGTTTCGGATTTTTTGAACTGAATTTAGTTTTGTGTAGATGGCCAAGGAATAGCAGAAAAGCAGAAATTAATTAATGTTCTAAAAAAATTTGATCTTCTTGGGTTTTAGGGTGGGATAACTGCAGTTGGATATATCTCTTTTGTGTTGTTTTTATGAAGCTGTTGTGTAGGACTTGATTTTGTGGCTGAATACAGCAAGTGTATACAGCGTACAGACACCATGTAAGTATGAAACAGCTGTTGTTAAGGTTGCTAGCCTCTCTTCAAACCAGTGAGAATCCAGTCCTACACCTGTGTGCATCACGTACAGAGAAGCACCAAACAGAAGACCATGGTAAAGGAAAATAGTACATATTTATTAGTAGTGATGGGATGGGATTAAGGTATTTTCATTAATTTTTTGCCTTACTTCTTTGTAATAAATTTTTTGTGTGACAGGGAAACTATTTTTATTATCAGTTAATATTTAAAAGAAAAATATTCCCACCAAAACAAAACACCTCTGCCAGAGAAATTCCCAAACCCAAAATACCTCAGTGTACAACCCAACCCCAAGTAAAACATGTTTTCCCACTTTAAATAACTGCATATACTTAAGCAAGGTGGAAGGGAAAATAAATCTGAAAAGATGTATAAAACATAAGGGTTCACTGTAATTCTTTTTGCATCTGTTAACTTCTGATGTTCTGGTCATTTGGTGTTGTTTTTTTRAAGTTCCATTACTGTTCATGATTTGCTATAAAAGGATTTATTCTGCAATGCTGTTACTAAGTTTTCAATATTTTTATACAGTGTAAAGTTGCACGAAAAACACCACATAAGTGCAACTGTGGCAGTACTGTAGAATGCAGTTTTTGAACTGTCAGCTGGATTAATCTTTCAGACTGCTTACAAATGTTTTAATATTTTTATGCTAATGGGAATTTGAAATATTTGTGTGCATATTTAAAATAATTCAGCACATGCATTGCTACAGATACAAATGGTTCTTTGCCCTCTTTGCTGCTTGGGCTTGCTTCCTCTATGTCCYCCTTGCATCCCTGTGCCCAGGCAGTGAGCAGGTAAAGGAGAGCCAGGGAGAATTATCAATTCTGCTCATTTCAGTATGGAAGGAAAGAAGAGCAAGGAGGTACACTAGAGCAAGACTCTTCATACTTGTGTTTACATAGGGTAATTTGCGCTGTAGACATAGAATATAATTTTATAAATGTTATCATTGAGTGAGTTTGGAAGAAATAGGTGGCCTAGAACAAATAGGTAAGAAGCATGTTAAGGCCTTTAGATATGTGAATAACACGATTATGGTTTACGTTCTTGGTGACAGTTGGTCCGAGAGGGCATGTATTTGAAGTAATGGAGAAAAGAAATGTACACTAAAATGTTGAGCCAAATTCTATGTGAGCTTGATCTGTCTGTTCACTTTCTGCAGTTACCAAGAAGGTTACATGCAAGCCAGTAAATTATGGAAAATAGTGTTCTTCGTGATTTCTCCAGGAGAGATGATATACACAGTTGCTTTAAAGAAGCATATTCACATATACTTTTTCTTGGAAGAAAATATATAAACTGCCATTACAAAGATGGGAAATACTGTCTTTTAAAATGCTAACATTCTTCATTCTTTGACATGATAGCACTGTGTTTTTCCATATATTGTGTTCCGCTTTTAAGGGAGAGCATGTGAAAGGTAAGCCACAGCTCAAGTTTTAATCAACTTAATATAAAAAGCTTTTCTCAGAAGGCACAGAAGGAAACCCATAATAATGAAACAGTAGTTTGTCTTCAGTTTCGTTCCAYTGTGGAACATTGTGTTTCTAGAACTTCCAGCTTTGTACCAGTAGCAGTTCCACATCTGACATTTTCAGAACCAGAGCTATGCCAAATCATRCAAATAAAGGTTTTGCCTTAGTGTGTGAAGAGTTCTCAAAAAGTGAATGTTTAGAGTTTTGAAAGAAAACGTTTTTCATATATTGAATGTCTGGTTTAAAAGTGAAAATTGTCAAGTTGGCAGCAAGGATGGCTATGTTTCTGAAATTATTTTGGGATATGTGTCAGTTTATCATTGCCATGTTATACTTTGTGTAGTTTTTGTAATACCACTTAATGCAYGTTTGACATCATTCTTGCATCACACTTTTGTAGTTTCATTTATTATTCACACTGATAAATGCAACTGTCTGTAGATGGGGGTACCAGAGCATTTCTTTAGTATTATGTAACTTGTTTAGGGTTAAACTAGGGTTTTTTGTTGCTAAGCTTGTTTTCTGTCTTGTGTTTACTTTGCATGTTTTGAGTAAAATACACTTATTCTGCTGTATATGGGGGAAAAGTAGCAAGTCATGAAAAGTGTATATTAGGAAAGTAAATGAAAGTCCTGGATGCTTCTTACTGCTTCTAAAATGGCAACTGATTCAGGTGAATAAAATCACTTGGTATACTTTCTGCATGATGATTCTAGACTTTTTCCTTATTGCAGCACACTTCAGAATCATTATTTGAGATTTTTAAAAAATGAAGTTTAATTTCTGTCTGGTTTTAATCTCAAGCATGTGTGCAAGACAGTAAATTAAACAYGTATGTCTTGCTGTTGTTCTGAATAGTACTCTTAACTCCCCAAGTTGTAGTAAACATRAAGAAAAATAATTAGCTTCATAATTTTAAAATAATGAACTAGTCAGTCCCATGGGGGTGGGGTGGGGGTGGAGAAAGCTCAGATCTGTGGATAAATCATATTCTTGTTTTCAGTTGC